AAAAAAAAAATATATATATATATATTTGTCAGTGCTTTGCCTGATTCACACATTTTGGTCTTCTCCCTGTGGACCTTCCACCCTTCCCAGTTGCCACGTGTCAGCGTACCCATCTTCTGAGCCTGCTCCACTGTCACATGCTTCATACAACGTTCCAGTGTCCTCAACTGGACCGATTTTTTCTCTACTGGCCAACGTACCTTTTTTGGGTATTATTGTTCATACTTCTTATTGCTTAAAACCATCATAAAGTATTGTATTTGAGGATACAGCATAATAGAGGCCTAAAGAATTCAGCTACAGGATGTAGGGACTCTTACCACTTACTAAATGGGTAGATGGCTTAGCTTCTTGGTGTTTCCATTTCTTCATTTGACAAAATGCATAAACAAAGTTCATAATAATAGCAACACCTCTCGTGGCCAATGTGAAGATTAGTTAAATGAAAATCTCAACAGAGTTTCTGGGTGATAGCAAAAATCCTTTTCCCCCCTTTCTTTTATTCTTCTGTAATATAAACTCCTTGAGCTCAGAAATTGTATCTTATGCAGGGTGGTGCAGGGAGTTCTAAGATCAGCAGTTTGAAACCACTCGCTTCTCTGAGGGGGGGAGAAGAGGCTTTCTAGCCTGTTAATGATGTGTGATCCTGGAAGCCCACACGGGGCCCTCTGCTCTGTTCCACAGGGTAGACAGTGAGTTGGAATGGACTCAGTGGCAGTGAATTTGGCTTGGTTCGTTATTCCTCCTACCCGACACCAGCGTTCCGGCTCTCATAACATAGCAAGCTACTTACAAAATCTGTTTTGAGTAAAATATTACTGTACTGACTTTTTAAAAATCAATTATGTAAGTGACTTGGGAGTATTAGAGAAAAATTACATGTCTAATACAACATTTAAGAAAGAATAATAAATTTGGAAATATTTTCTGAGTAAAGAGAAATAAGATTAAGTATATCTGTCACTGTATATGTGCCAATTTTCTAAGAAATAAATAAAACGAATGACACTACTCAGCAACACTCCTCAAATTAAACTGCAATTCGTGCATTTAGAAAACTTAAGTATTCATTTAATTTTACCAAAATGAAGACATATTTGAAATACTTATCTTCTTTTTCTGTTGATTGAAATTATCTATGATAACACCAATGAACAGGTTCAAAGTGAAGAATGATCCAAAGATGATAAAGATGACAAAATAAATGTACATGTAGAGGCTGTATTCATACCGGGGTTGTTGGTCTACCTACAAAGTCAGCAAAAGTTAGCAGCATATGCACAATAGCAGCCATCATTTTCTTTTTCATGTAGTTTGATAAAATAATTCCAACAGTGCTATCCTCAGCAAATATTAGTATGAAAGAGACTTTCGTGTGGTTGAACTTCAACAAAATACTCTTCAAAGTCTATTCAATATTCAGTATTGATTGTGTGCATACTATGTATATAAATATAACCTTTCCCTAACCACAAAAGACCTAAATGTATGTACTACTTGTTCTCATATTTGTTGGGAATTTTAGTAACTGAATGGCCTAACATATGTTACAGTAAATTAATGAACATAACATAGATTAAACTTATTGTTTATTATGGTATTTATAGATCATTATTTGTTCAACAATATATTTATTAAGTTTTCAGAAGAAACTGCCCAAAAGTTGATATTGTATTTGTATACATTATAATTTATATAATCGCTTTTAGTCTGGGGGCTTATTTTACATAAACACTTTCAAGGAGCTTCAAAAATTATAAATTATACACATCCACAAAACTATGAACGTAAAGTTTATTAATTTTTCTCCTGGTAAACATCAGTTTACCACACACTGATGGTCACCATTGCTGTACTTCCTTATTATCATTATTGTTGTAAATTAGTTGGGGCTTTATATTTCATATCATCAACTTTGTGTTCAACAATTATAACCAATCACTATCCTGCCCCCTCCCTGCCCCCCGAACATTTACCCTTCCTCCGTTCCTTGCTGTCTCTCCTCCCTTTCGTAGACCACCGTCCTACACTTCAACCAAGTGAACACCTGTGTACCATCTCATCTGCTGCTTTATCCTTCCTTCCTTCCTTCCT